ATTTGATTTCTTGATACTAAGCTATTTATATATATGTATCTTGTGAAAAACCAGCCAGTACAATGAACCAAATTAGAAAAAGTAAGTAATCGCTGTTCGAAGAAAGGAAAGGACATTATTATTTATACTTATAATTTCTACTTTTCTACTCGTTTTTTCTTAAACTCTGTTCAAGCGATGAATTATTTCAGCGGAACGAAATTGAACGAAAATAATTTTGGTTTATTCCGTTCCACTCTGTTGCAAATATGATTTAAAAAGCAACAACAAGTAGTAGTAGTACAAACAGAATTTTTGAAAAATATCGACTACAGAAGAAATTGTCCAGATGGTGCTGGAATCTAGCAGTATTTCTATCGCATATTGGTCCTCCAGGAAAAAATTTCTCATTGATAATCAGTTGAGCAAAACGAAAATAGTGAAAGCTAACCATTTAAATTTTTTGCTTATAACTAAGCAAAATTGATTAATTTATCAACAATTAAAGTGTCTAATGGACTTAAATAAAAGAAAGGAAGTTATAGTAATATAGCAGATCTTATCAATAACTTTATTAAAATAGAACATGGTTGAAAATTGAATTTTATTCCAAATATTCCAAATTTTTTTTCGAAATTTTGATTTTTTTTCGAAGTTCGAAATATAATCAATCAGAGAAATCAATGGATTGTGGAAAATTAACTGATTGATTCCAGTTGTGATAGTTTGCCCCTTACCAAATTCTCTGCATGAAATATGTAGAAGTCCTAAGTACTGTTTAAAATTGTAGGTAATATAGGCTATTAATGCCGCATGATAGGCGTAAATAAAGTTCGGATGGTAATAATAGCTTTTGATTTTCTATTGCTGATTCCCTATCAAAACAGTTCATAAACTGTATAATAAAAATAAAAATTATATATGCCTTGCTTAAATTAAGTTCTATTCAAGGTTTTAGTTCTTAAATAGCTCTAATTCTTTAAATCGCTCAGCAATTAATGATAATAATTTTCATAAAAAGCTTTCATTCAGGGATTTTTTGGGAACAAAATTGCTGGTAATATAAATTTTAAGGATAAAACTAAGCATAAAAAATAATAAAGATTAAAATATTCAGCACAGTAGGAAAAGATAGGAGTAGCGCAAGCACTGGCGACAACAGCTCATCAAGCACATGGCAGTTTTTCAGTGATTAATATTTACTTTACAGTCATCTCTCTCAATATCCACTCATGACAGGCAATGGTGATTTTGTAAATGCAAATAGACTTTATGAATTTATAAAAAAGTCAACGAAGCACACTCGATTCTCCTAAACGTTTAGTTTCGAATTTTACAATTTTCATCGTCCTTTTCGAGTTATTAGTATACACAAAATTTAATTTAAAAATATATTTAATCAATTCTAATAAGAAAATTCGAGGAAATTCTTCATAAACCCAAAATTTTTCAATGTTTTAAATGTTTTTCTTTTTGAAAATTTTTTATACAAAATTAATTTTTAATATTCCAAAATATTTTGAAATTTCTTACAATTTTTACTTTTTAAAAGCAGTTAAGTGATCCTTTTGTTCTATCTAAAAAGAATAAAAAGTATGTAAAATACTTCAGGAATCCCAAAAATTTTAACTGCATGATAAATGAAATTTAGTTAAAATATTTAATATTTAGTATTTTCCTAAATTAGCTAAGAAGAGGTCAATGGAAAGGAAAGTTGATAAAAGGCACTGACTGGTATATTGCATGTAGTGATTGTAATCTATATCTATTGATATGATCCAAACATTTGTCTTATCTTTGTGATTCACTGAAACATTGATTAACCTGCACAAAATCTATTAAATAACGAATTTTAAAAACTTAACAATACAAAAAGTAATATAAATTGTAATTTTAATGGTTTGAAAATAAAATATAAGATTTTAAAAAGAATTGAATTCTGAGGAAAAACCAAGACTAATCACTTTGCAGTACAATTAGAATAAATGATTTTTTAAAAATTTTATTAATTAAATGATAGAAATTTAATAAAAAAGTAATTCGATTTGATTAAGGGTGTAATAAATACCACACCTTATACGATTTTTTAAAACACATTCTTTAAAAAAAATATTTATTTTATTTACTTTTATCATATTAATTGAGTGTTAATTTAGAACATTTCTACTTTTATTTATCTATTAATAATATATTTTCGCTAGAAATTTTTTATAATATTTTTTTTTAATTGAATATGGTTAATAAATTCGACTGCTTTCACACGATCTTCAATTTAATGATATGTGGGTTTATAGCGTTGAGAAACCAGTCTCCAGTTGATTCCAGGTATCGCCTCATTCTAGAAGTCAGTGCAATGCAACCAGCCAAACCAGAAAGGATGCGCGCTCATCTAATCAAAAGTTATTTTCAGAAAATTCAGACTGAATAAATAAATATATAAATTCTTATCACAATGAAGAATGATAATAGTTTTCAGTAAAGTCAATTGACGCAAAAAATTTATAAAAAACATGGACGCAACATCGAAATAAAAAAATAAATAAGCAAATGTATGTATATTTTATAGATTTTTAATTAGTTTAATATTATATTATGCATAATATATATTATGTATATATTTTATATATAAATATTTTTGAATTAAGATTAAAATATTTATTTATATTAAAATATTTATTTATTTATTATTTATTTATTTATAATAAAATATATTTATTTATTTATTATTTATTTATTTATATTAAATATTTATTTATTTATATTAAAATATAAAATAATTCATATTTTGAAATAATATATAAAGATGGCCGAACTTTGTTTAGATTCTCGAACATCATGGTTCGGATCTTGCTTCCAACAAGAGTAAAATGTGCCATTAGAGAATACGATTTATGCTGGGATCCTACCTTACCCTCGATCTCCAAGTAAATCCCTGGCGAAAATTTTTCATATTATTAACAACTAGTGAACCTAACCAAAAATGGTGAGTGTTGGCCACTTTTATTTAAAGATGTATATAAATATAAATTTAAATATAAATTTATATATAAATTTTATTTCTAAACTTTTAATTCACGAAAAAATCAAAACAAAATGCTAAAATGTTTAGAATAATATAAGAGAATTAATTGGTCAGAACTTGAACACCTATCAAAATATTCCACTACAGTGAACCAGTGCCATACATTTATTTCAAGCAATGCTTTTCATTCACTTTTTTAATTTTCAGTTGCAACCTTATTTCACTGTTATAAACCGATTTAATTCTTCTTATCCACACTGACAACAACAGAGATTTAGCAACTTAAAATACCCATTTATTAGCTTTTATGATATTTATATAAATTATATAAATTAAATTAGTATAAATTAGAAAAAGTTGCTAAATTACTGGTCTTTAAATTTCATAAATTTCATAAATCGTTAGCTACAGCATTTAAATTCGGCAATAAAAAGAATAAATTTAAATCATAATTTAGAATTTTGTAGGTCTACTGATAAGGTCTATTGACAAAATTTAAACTTGATCAACAAAATTTCTAATAATCATTTTAAATCTCTTATTTTAAGATTGCTCTTATTGTTAATTATTTATATTATAAAGCATAAAAAATAAAGAAAATATGATGAAATATAATGAAATAAATCTTGCTTATGATCTTTCTGTATTTAATTATAATTATTTAATAATTATTTTCATTAAATTATTATTTAATAATTCAAATTTGACGACGAAAAATTTCATTTCATAATAAATTGTAATAAAAATATTGCCCCTATTTCAACAATATTAGTATAATAATGATAGTGGTGATTGGTGGTAGTGTGGTGGTGCTGGTGACGATGATAGATTTATTTGCACAGACGCAAATATCAATTCTATTGTTAAAGCATTCCCTCTTGTATTCTTTCTCGATTATAATTCTCCATTTTTGATCTACCCTTCCTCCTTTATAAAAATTTTGTTTCACAGATTTTGAGATTGATTGCATCGATTATTACTATAAAATAAATTTTTAAATTTTTTTAAATTTTCTAATTTATTAAATTAACTTATTAACTGTTACTTGGAAGGAAATTATTGTGTTAAGCCAACTAACTTACAGTGGATCAGCCGACAGTTCGATTTTATCAATTTTACCAACAATTCGGCCGATATTTTTCAATTACATTTTGGCATAAAATTGTTCTCAATTGTTCGTGGGTCAAAATTAATTTTCTAAAACTGCAAAATATTTTCCAATGTAAAATATATAAGGCATGACACTACTTATTTTATTAATTTTTTTTGAAAAATACTGCGTTTAAAATTATATTAGAAACAACTAACTAACTTCGTAATCATTTAATAAAACAAACCCAACAAAACCAGAAAACAACAAAATAAAATACAAAAAAAACTTTAACAACCATGAAAATAGGGCAAACTGCATAAGAAATATTTAAAAGAAAACAATGAAATATTCTATAAAAACATTTGATATTTAAAAAAGCGCAAAATGAAGAAGAAAATATGAGAAAAACAACAATTTTTCATTTCGAACAACAGGTGCACAATAAATAATATAAGCAACTAATGATGAGGAAGCACTGTAAGCAAAACATTTACAATCTGTTATCATCTAAAAGCTGTTATATTCGCTATATTCTTTCTCAGCTCCAGCGCATCGCTTGTTTGTTTTCCCATTATATAAATTGGTCGTTAGAAAATTTTGTAACTAATGGAATAAACAATTTCATAGCAATGAATAGAATTGTGGAGAAAAAATTTCAATATTTCAAAAATTCCAACCAATATATAAATTTGAATGAATTATTTTGTATAAAAAAATATATAAAATAAAATAAATAAAATATATAAAAATATATAAAATATATAAAATAATAAAGAAGCAATAAAAAATAAAAAACTAATTTACTAATTTTGACTTTTACAGATTTCGAAGTTACCAACCCGTTTCAGTTTAATTAACCTTCAAATTAAACATTTTTTCAGTAGTGCAATCTACTACAAAACAATTTTAAATCTGATTCACGAGCCTGCTTTGTGAAATATCATTCTTCGACAATATTTTCCTCGTTAATTGCAAAAATTGAAGTAATTTTCGAGTCACCCGTAACTGTAGGGAACGTCTGAAATATTAGGAATCTAATTAAATTTCTTAATAGCAATAATTAGATAATTATAACGTTAATATTTAGTTTTATATTTTTTAAGCAAAAAACAATCTAATTTAACATATAACCTTTGAATTAATTTATCGATAAGCTGAGCGAGTTTACGATCATCTACCAAAGAAGCAAAAGAAATAAGAACAGCAATATTATGCCGAAGAATCTGAGCATGTCTACTAAGAAAGAACATATTTTTAAGGATACAAAAAGGTGTGCATGTAGTAATACCAATTTGCCATCGCAATTTAGGCTGACACTGAGCAAGTACAAATGCGATTATATTAGGCACAGTTAATGAAAGTGATTGAGGAAAATAAGTAGAAGCATGCTTCCTTAAATGAAAAATAAAATTATAAATAAAAGTTGAAACTTGGGAAATGCAATTTTATAGGTAAAAAACTATCTCTAAAACAATTTTAAAGAAAAATTATTTAAGCTCAAAATTACTTAAATTTATACTTTAAAAATAACTTTTTAGCAGGAAGAAAAAGAATGAAAGGTAGTCGGTCCATTTTGAAGTTCCAGGGAAGTTCATTTTTTGAGACATCTATTCTAGAAAATTAAAACTTGAAAATTTTAAGTTAAATAATTTTTCCAGTGACAATGAAATTAGTCGTTAAGACAAAAAAATGTATGAAAATTGAAAACGCAAAAGAGAAGAAAAAATTACATCATTATTTTAAGTAAAGCTTCGTAAGGCTTAAAATAATAAGCGACTGTATGATAAATATGTAAAACCGCAGCACTTTGTCCACTTGAAGAACCAGCAAATAACATCAACAATACATCCTCACTTGTCGTCTATAAATTACAGTAATTTTTATCATATACCAATAAAACCTGTTAAAAAATGCTAATTTTGATATGTATGCAAGAAACTAAAAAAAAGCAACCTTATTAATTATTTCACTGCGAAAAAAATTTGACGTAATTTGTTGCACAAACATATTATAGGGATGAAAAATTGAATCAGAAGTATATGAAATAGGTTGCCTCGTTTCTGACACAAAATGACGGGTTAATGAAGAGCGAAAAAATGATCGAAAAAAATTATGAAGCGATTTTCTGAAAAAAATGTTTGTTAACAAACATTTTTTCTTGGAAGCGTCTAACGTTTATAGCAGAGCCAGTCTAACTAATAACTGGAAGGAGAATATATACATAAAAAAGTTCATTCTTTTCCTCTGAATTTGATTTTAAATTTTTTTAAATTTTTCCATACTAACCATATAAATAGGTAATATCATAAATCCAGGCTGCTGCTAGAGATCCACACGGCATCCGCACCCTCCTATGCGCACGATACTTCTACCCCGGTGATACAAGTATATGATTCAAGCATAAAATAATCCCAAGGAGATAAAATGCGCTCGCATGCTAGGATAGTTGCTCGAAAAATATCAAAAGGAACAACTCTCTGCATGCGCGATGAGGTGTTTACAGTACCAGTGTGGATAACGTTATGGACATTGTAAGCGATCATTGTCCACATTCCCAAATATCGTGTGGATGTCGTCTACTTGTAGGAGATCTGCATTCCTCACATCGAGTCTCGAGTAATTATTAATCTTGGCTCTGAGCAAAGATACTAGTTGCTATGGTGCTTAGGATAACTCAGGGCAAAATGGCGTAGCGATTGTCACGTCTGACAACTTCGCTTTGACTGAATGGAAATCGGTAAGCGATCGTACGGCCTTGTGCCCGTTTTAACGGTAAATTCTGCAATATTTCGGTCATCTATGCCCCAACTCTATGGGCAGAAAACCGTGATAAAGATAAAATAAAGTCTGTATCGAAACATGACGCAATAGAGTGAAACTGGAATGCGCTCATAGGTCATAATGTCGCTGCGAAAACCTCGACAATTGGAACGCCTTCATTATGCCGAAGAGCACGAACTTTTTGTCACTAATATTTGCTTCGTAGAGAACATCTAGTGACGTGGAATTCCCTGAATAATCAACACTTCAACCAGAATGATTATATATCTTAGCCGTTGGAAGAGTTCGTACTAGACAGCGTTCCTATCGCGGCGCTAAAACGGGTAGTCTTCATGAATCTGACCATGTTATGGTTCGAGCCAAGATCCGCACAAAATTGATAACTCGCAGAAAACAGTATCCCTCAAGATCCTTCAACTATCTCAAACCAGAAAATTCGGAGACGGCGAGCGCATTTCAAACCGAATTATTGAAGCATCGCAGAGATATAAATATCAATGGCTTTTCTGGAATGGCAAATGAATGCTTGTCCAAATTAAAGGAATGCCTCCGAAAGTCAGCCACTTTCTATGGTTGGGTATCGGAAGTAACTGCCCAAAAAAGCTGCCAAAGCATAAATGTCAGATGATCCTGACTACAGGATGCTTTGCAACGAAAACAGCAAGGCGGGACAGAAACTATTGGAGTGACATGGCCTTGAGAATGGAAACGGCTGGATAAGGCTATAAGAGGAAACTATTCCGCCTTCTTCGTAAGACAACTCCGGGAGCGAAATAGTAAGGAACAGCAATGGCGTGCCGATAAAGAGTATTAAGGACCACCTCATGCGATGGAAAGAATTCTTTAAGGCCAAACTTAACCATGAAGCGCCATCTGTTGCACCTGATACGTTCACCGAACCATATGCTTGCAATTGCGAGCCTCCAAGAGAAGAAGAAATAATCTTTCTGTTATCCATAAGTTTAAGTCAATAAGACTCAGGGAGAAGATAGTCTTCGGTCTGAACTCTTCAAATATTGTCCATCGTTCTTTGCACTTTCAACAAATATTGGGAGCAGAATTACTTTGCTTCAGTCATCTGGTAATATTTCTTTCTTTCTGGTATGATATAGACGTCTTAGCGAAAATTTTTACTTCTCTTTTACTCAATAGACTTATGGCAGTATGGGAGAGCAAGATAGCCCTAATCAAGCAGGATTCAGACCGGTGCGCGGTTGTGCTGACCAGATATCCACGTTAAGAAGGGACATTGCTTCAAATATCTGCAATTCACTGTTACGTGTTTCATCGACGGCTGCCTTCGATTCAATTGACTGAACTACACTTTGGAAGGTGATGGAAAATGATGGAATTCTATAAAATATCATTCGACTGATGAAGGCATTTTATCGTGCAGGTCTATAAATATGCGGAATAAATAAATTCCTTCAAAATAGGAACTAATCATCTTTTCTCCCACAGTATTCAACTATGCGATAGACCGGATAATGAACACCACTTGTCGGCACTCAAGAGGTGTACAATCAGTCCATAGCATCACAGATCTTGAATACGATGATGACGTAGTTCTTTCTATTGACAGTTATGAGCAATTAACACTAAAGAATATTATAGCAGCTACAGCGAAAATCGATTGAGGAAGTGCACGATTTTAAATATCTTAGATCCACTCTAATACTCTAATTTTAAATATCTTAGACCCACTCTAATGGACTTGCAAAAGAAGAAATTAGAACCGGATAATGGCAGCTAGAAATGCGTTCTTCCGATTGACGAAACTTTTATGGAGCAGTCGAGAAATAACCATAAAAACGAAAGTTCACATCTTTATAACCGTGATCTTGCTAAATGGCTGCAAGACATGGCTAATGCGAGTGGAGGATATTAAGAAATTTTCTGCCTCATTCAGTGGTCAAGAAATGACCACTCATTCTAAGATACATTTTAAGGATTCGCCGAGATAAAATCTCACAAAATTGCATCCGTCTTCCCATAAACATCACTTGCATTAACGGTACCATCACAAATCGTCGCTGGCTAAGGTACGGTACGTTCACGAAAGGCTTGACATTTCGCTATTTGCTAAGCCCTGTGATGGATGGTGTCAAAATTGAAGAGGGCCAATCAAGACTTGGACTTATAACCAGGAAAAGCTTTAAGTGCATAAGTGGATCAGCGATATATGGATTTGGACGTCGGAACGAATAATTTAGAAACACCTTACCCTTATAGCCAGCGAAACCAGCCTATATCAGTAATGGTGAGAGAGGAGAGAAGAAGAAAGAAACTATAAAAAGAATTACAAAGAATATAACCATATCTATTGAAGAATGAAGAAAAGGTGCTTTACATCTAGTTATTTATACTCAATCTACTTATTATAGTGAAATAAATTGATAAATTTTCAACGACACGCGCTCACGCGCTCGCTAACGATTATTGAAGAAATGCTAAAATTGTGCTAAAATGCTAAAAAACCATAAATTATAAATTTATTCTATCAGAAATTGATATAGAATTTTTATCCACTAATTTTAATCGGCATATTTTTTTAAGATCCAGCAACTGCAAAGAAATTTAAATAATTTGAATTTTAGACTGGGCAAAATAATACTGCAAAACACTAAAGAAGATTCAACAACGCAAGAACAAATGAAAACAAATATTTAAAAAAATATTCAAAACAAAAGAAATAACTTGGTAACCTGGAAAAGTTATCAACCAACAAATATGTTTGCTCGTTTTCTGAATCAGCTATAATCAAAACAGTATCAATGTTTTTCGAAATGTTGACCAATTTTCGAATGAAAAATCCATAATAATCGATATCAAGTCCTACAAATCTAAAAATACAAAAAATTATTTAACTTGTGAGCAAATTTTTCTCTCTGTATATTAACGCAATAATGACATAACAGAATGAGAAAAAGTAACTTAAAACCAAATGAAAAAATGAAACCTAATTTTTAATGAACTTTCAATTAATTTTGATTTGGACCAAAATGAGAACTACTGAACAATTTTTGTAATAAATCGGAAGTTTTTTTCTTCGCTAAAATTATTAGAATTTTTTAATGAATCAAAAACATTTTCACCAAGCCTCATATCAATATTTATTTTCTGAATATACTGCAGTTTTGATTCATAATTTCTTTTATTTCTAGCATTCCTAAGAGCATTTTTGCAAATATTACTATCATTAATTTATCATTCTGATAATCTGATAAATAATCTGATAATAACAGGAAAATAAAAAATATAATTGCATACAAATTATTAAACAATAAAAAATTCAATAACAAACCGTAATGTCTTATTTAGTGGACAAAATTTTTCATCGAAAATTCGTTTGTCAAAAGGATTCGACAGATCATTTAATTGATTAGTTTTGAATTGATATCCATAGCGCTTACTCATTTTATAGCTTTCACAATTAGTAATTTTATTTTCGAGGGATAATGGGATAGCAACATCCGATTTGAAAAAAGCACAACAATAGACAAATAAATTCTCTGGAATGCCCATTTTAAGCCCTTAATTTTTCAGCTGTCCATTAAATCAAAATAAAAATTTTAGATTAACTAATTAATAGTATTTATTTAAAATTTAAATAATAGTATTTAAAATTCTTATCGTGACAAAAACTAATTATAACGAACTATCTAACAAATTTTCTATTAGATTTAAAAAGCACAAAAGGATGAAGGAAAAATGGTAGATTGGTCAATATAAAAATTGCCGACTGAACAAGAAGTTCAGAATTATAAACAAAGAAAAATGAAAATATTTCGATACCTTGAGATAAATTGAGCAAGCGACAAATTGGAATGTTGGAAAATGACAAAAAAAAGCGAGAGAAAACATTTAATTTGGGACATACACCAGGATTTTCATTAAGCAGATCGTATCTCGAACACTTTGAGAGAATGATTTTTTTACTTAATAGACAACATGTAATCACCTAAATTGTCGAATTTCAACCAATTAAAATTAAAATATAAAATTAAAATGGTAATAGGAAGTGAAAATTTAATTAAAAATTAAATTTAAAAATTAAATCAAATAAAATTATTGAAAAAAAATTTGATAACAATCGTAAGAAATGCCAATAAAATATATATTAATATTTATTAAAAAACTAAAAGGACAGTGCAGCACTATTTTCTAGAAGCGAACCAGAATATAATAAATTATGTATTACCCCACTGCGATAGGTCTGCATGTTCTTGCAATAACTTTTGTCTCTTTTGATGATACTCGACCGTCTACGCCTTGAAATTTCACGTTTCTGCGCCATTAAACGAAAATGCAAATCATTGCCAGTAAAACATGAACTATATTCAATGGCTGCCTAAATCAAAACCATACAAAAACAAAAAAAGATAAATTGCCGTTATTATGAGTTACTTCAATGAAAAATTACCTGCTCAACTAGTGACAGATGTGATTTGTGAGGATACAGTACTTCTCGTTTGGTAAACAACATAACCGTTGGTCCTTGCTTTAAGATTAATTGTAATTGGTGATTTTTGACAATAAGCTCTGGATCTATAATAAAAATAGTTGCTTTAAATTTTCCCTTATAAATTTCATAATAAAACAAACATACAAGATCCAACCTGGTGAAATCCACTGAAGGCCATGAGAAGAGCAGTTCTGCTTTAAAATCCATGTCGTTATTTCTATAGCAGAAAAATTTAGATTAAAGGAATAATCGACTGTGTAATTACAAGAATTAAGACGAATCTGCCCAACAGTTATATTAAGAAATCGTGCTAATTTCGGATTTGTTATTAATGCAAAACCTACATGACCAAGCAAATGATCTGAAAAAAAAAATTCATTCTGAAAAACACAAAATAAATACAATAAAATAAAATATATTGGAGATCGATACATTAATTTTACCAGATATCGATATAAACAGTGAAAAATGCAAAATGTAAAACAAAATTACCATACTGCGAAAAATATAAAGATGCATATAAATATTTTTTATAAGAAGATGACTGTTGGAAATCAGTCTAAAATGAATTCAAATAAATTTAATTTGAAAAAGCAGGAAAATTTAGAAGCTTTTAAAACTTCAAAACCAGAAGCGCTTTTAACTGCTTCACTGTTATTTATAAGCCTAAATAGATGAAAAAAAATAAAACTGATGGAATAAAAGAAAAAAACCTCAGGAGGATAAAATGAAAAAATAGCACAATTATATTCGAGCAAAAATTCGGTAATTTCCTTCTTATTCGTAAGTCGTTTCATTGAACTTCGAATGTGCAAAATCCATCTAAAAAAAAGATTAATGATTAAAAAATTAAAAAATGAAAAATTTAAAAAATTCATCGAATTCTATGAATTTTGATAAATTCGTCACTAAATCATGCAAACTTTAAAAAACAATCATCTTTAGGGAAAATCTAATTCACTACCACTATCACATCAAAAATATCAGAAGGAGAACTAGGTCCACCTGAAACTCTGGTAAAAGAACCATACAGATGACATACCCAATCCAGAAAAGTTGAGCTGGAAAATAAATATGTATTCCAGTTCCTAAAGGCAGCAAATTTAAAAATTATATGCCTCGCAATACTCGGATTTCCCTTTCTGAGTTACTGGGTTTATTTGCAACAAAGATATGGAAAGAACCCAAGATGCTTCGGAATAAAAATTTCTATTTAAACTTATTATTGCATATGCAACAGCATGTACAGTATATAACAAATGATATCAAATTAGAGGTATAAAAGATTATTCTTTCATGATCCGGAATCATATTTATATTCCTAAAATTTTTTAAACATTAAAAGAATAAAAATATTCAAAAATAAAAGAAAAAAATAAAAAAGAAACCTCCTTAAATAATCTGCACCGGATTCACCTCTATATACAAGGAATATTTTCCCAATAAATGCAGCTATTACTGGGAAATGATTGGCTTTAAAAGTTTTTTTGCATTCTCCCTGTGGTGCAAAACAATTAATGGCAGCAAAAGAAAGCTGAAATATTTATATTATATCAAAATATTTTAAATCCGTCCAATTAATTGAAATAAAAAAATTATTGCAGAAAATAGAAGCATTTATCCCTCGTCAAATTTGAAACCGAAAAACCAAAACTTCGTAAGTTTAACCGAAGTAAATAATAATAATTCTGCGATAAACCAGATCAAAATATTAAATATTAAATAAAGCCTTTTTTTAATAGAATCAACACCAATTAATTATTATAGATCTTGTAAGTTAAAATCACTCACATCGTTATTGTTATGAAAACTTCTAGCCACCTCAAGAAACACTGGGCGCATTTGATAACATTCTAGGCTCCATGATGCATAAAACATAACTATTACAATTTCTGAATAATTTAGTAAATCGCCTGAATCGTTACCATTGAAATAATCTCTTATATGTAATGGAAAAAATTGTTTTGATGGCGGAGCTGAACGCTTGATTAATGAGCTATTCGTGGATTCCCTGTAACGAAAGCTTTTATGAAGATATATTTAAAAATCATGCACAAATTAATTTAAATATTATACGATAAAAAATTTAAGCCAAAACAAGGCAAGACAAAAATGAAATAATTTCATAACTTTATCCATCTACTTTCTAATGAATACTGATCAAAATGACGCATGTATCCATACATATGTATATAAACACAAATTAACTTTAACAAATTAACTATTCACGAATTAGTTAGCTAACTATTATAGCTCAACTAACTATTATAGATAGATTGAAGCTCTTCGCCAAAGAAATACAGGTGCATCCCTAACACTAACCAGACTTCACTTTTATCGAGAGGTATACCAATATGCACGAATCAAACCCACTGTATGCACATGCATAAGATAATTTTACATAGAAGAAGTAAAGTTAAACTCTGTAAAAAAAAATCTACCATTCGAAAAATCTGTTATTTTCTTATTCATCTTTGAAATTAGAGAAAAAGCTTTTATTTAAAGGAAATTGCAATATTAAATAAATTAACCATATTCCAATACTATATAAATATACTTAAAAATAACCTTCCTTTCAAATCTTACTGCCCTTATCATTTAAATGTTAAATGATAAATGATAAAGGAACTTACATTGCACTTTGAAAAACTGCAAAAAGTGTATGAACTACAAAAAAAACAAAAAGAGATCGTATATTGAACATTTTATGAAGTATTATTAAACTCGTCTGAATCAAGTTATACTGATCTGTAATTATTTTGCATCATAATTTTATAAAGTCATGCTTTCAAAAAAAATTAACTGAGATTAAATTAAAACCAAAACGCCTTAACGCCAATGCCTTATTTTGACTTTAACTTATCTTAATAATGTAGGATCACAGGAAAAAAAAAACAATTAAAACAAAATAAATAAATTAACGAAGATCAATGTAGGCAGAGTTTTGGTATCTCAATCGTTAATCTTCTTTGAAGAATGCAAAAATTTACTGAAACTTTTAGAAGATAGAATATCATCCGGAGGCTGATTTAACTCTTCTTCAACAATATTTATTCGTTCTTCAGTTTTACCAATAAAATAATTTTCTTGAGCCAATTCTAAAATTTTGATTGAAAATAAATTAGTAAATAAAAAGAAAATAACAATGATAAAAATAAAAGTTACAAAAATTCAAAGTTTTATTTAAAAAAAGGAAAGAAAAAAATAGAACGAATTTTCTTTGAAAACAAAATTCGATTAAATTTCTATTATTCTGCTTAAAACTTAAATAATTTTCTTAATATTTCCGATATCTAATATATAATCTAAAAATTTAAAATTTATAAAATATAAAAATTAAAATAATTTTACCAAAAATACGAAAGAATAAAAATCACCGTTTGATGTATTGAACCGTTTGTGTTGTGAATAATGATCGTTCATAAATGACATCAAATATAAAAATATAACATCATCAAAAAATTCTCTTTGATTGACTAAATCGCTATATTATACTAAATCACAACCTGGAAATAAAAATCAATCTGTTTGCTTATTTATTTGCTTATTTAAAATAATTCTAAGGAAAAAGTGGAAAAAAATACTCTTTCATCTTCTAACAGTTCTCATTACTAGTTAGGCTGGCTCCAACGGCTACAAGGGTAAGACGCTTCCAAGCGGTGCGATCTGACGCTATTGTCGACAGTACAGAAGCATGGTCTAGGCCCACATACTTATGGTCAACCTATACGCTCAAAATCTTTTCTGATCGTATTAGTCCAGGTCTTGATTAGCCCACCTCGCCTTTGACACCACCCATCACAGGGTTTAGTAAATAACGAAATATTCGCCAACTCTTACTGTGGGCGACGAAGAACGTGTCCTAACCTGCGAAGGCGATGTTCTGTGATAACATTATTAATGAAAGTGGTATTTGAACGAAGGTGGATGCGATCATGTGATATTTTCCGCTCGTCGGACCTGTAAAATGTACCTTAGATAAAAGTGGTCAAAGAGAAATCATATCCTCCACTTTCAATGGCTCTTCGGCGATCGAAAAAATCACGGTTATACAGATGCAGACTTTCGTTTTTATGATAATTTCGCGACGGCTTCATAAAGATTTCATCACCGGAAAAACTGCTGTCATCGGGTTGTAATATTATTTTTGACCATTTGGTATTAGAGTGGACCCAAGGTATTTAAAATCGAATAATTCCTCAACGGCAATGAATTTAAAAAGGCATAAAAAAGAGGCAATAAAAAAAGGCATTATATCAGCTTCTTGCATATAAGACAAAAAGATTTTCATTTTATTTTGATCCTGAGTCCGATTCTCGCTACAGTCGCTGACACATTATTTAGCATTATTTGCATTTCATCATAACTGTCAGCAAAAAGGACTACATCATCATCGTATTCAAGATCTGTGACACGATGCTCTAAACTGATTTGGACACCTCTTGAATGCCGACAAGCGGTGCCCATTATCCAATCTATCGCATAGCTGAATATCCCAGCTCTTATTTCAAAGGGATTTGTCAGTCCCCCATATACATAGACCTGCATCGACTGCGCTCATAAAATGCCTTTATGAGTTGTATCTTCTCTTAACACCGTCGCTTTCCATCACCCTCCAAAGCGCCGCTCTATCAATTGAATCAAAGGTAGCTGAAAAGTCGATGAAACATGTGACAGTGGGTTGTAAATATCTGAAGCGATGTTTCAAACCTTTTTTTAGAATATATAAATAACTCCGATAGAATGTATCAAAATAATTTCAAAAACTAAATGTAAAAAGCAATTTTATTTCATTTTATTTCCTTATCAGTGATTTCTAGATTATCAATATAAGAATTATCAAAATATCAAATGAAAACGACTCGGTTCACGAAACAAACCTGTTTATTTCTAAAGCAAATCGAACTGCTTTATATTGCTTGATAATGATTTATGATGTGTGCCAATAAAAATCGGTAATTTTTTCAGTAATCAGTAATTTTCAAGTACTTTTAAAACTACCGTTCTACTTTTATATGGCCTGTTCTCATCGACGTTTATATTTTCAGCGCCATAATTCATATGTGATTTATTATTATTTGATCTTCCAGCATAATATATTTTTATTTTTGATCTAACGTATGTTTAATGCATCTTCCTAATCCAAGTGCGGGCAACGAAAGAAACCAACCAAATGATTTTGCAAATGATTTCATTAATCCCCTCATCATGCCTCTCATCTCTCTTTCTTACCTCTCTCCAATATCTATTCTCTTTAACCTCTCTTTACTATTAATCAGTTTTATTCGAACATACTAATAATATGCATTCGTAAATCGGAAACCTGGAATTTGCCAAATTTTACGGTGGGTAATAACCGATGCATTTTTTGGGAAATCTTAGGGAAATCGAATATTTCATCGAATCAGCTTAGTAATCAGTAGGGATCAATCGAATTCCGGCCGAAAGATTTGAGCTTCTTACTCAACATAAATTTTCAAGCCGTTATGACCCTCAATTCAGCCATATTTACCTCTCTCCAATACTTATTTCTCTCGTTCCTTCGCATATATTCGCTAATGGACAAGACATGCACGTGGGTAATGGCACAGGTCAGCGTACTGAGAGGCAAGGGCTTGCTCCTAGATCCGAGTACCACTGTACAGACCTCCACTGTCGCCAAACGACTCCTTGACGACAGTTTCTAACTATACTAAAAGCCAGCTGTGTAAATGGAGATTTACCTGTTTGCCACAAGAAATTGCATCACTTATCGACCCACAAATTATGTAATATCAAAACAAACAACCAGCAAACAGTAAATCAAGCAGTCGCAACAAAATGAGTGAATAAATCTGCAGATTAGGTAGACATATCCGCCGCGGCTGCGAATTAGAAATTGGGGGAAATTCGCAACTTCATTTATAAATTTTTAGAAGCTTTGTCAGAAATTGATGGCATTTATTTTCATGGGATTTAAACCATAATTTTGCATTACTCGGCATTTATTTTCGGCATCCTTGTTCATTACGGGTTTCTGGACCAATGGCTGGAAGGGCTTCGGGCTTTGCATCCTTTAATCTTTCACCTTTTCGTGTGAAAGGCCAAAAAGACAAGTGGTCGGCCTGCTCGAGTGTCCTGGCCCGTTGGCTCATTCGACTAATTTCGGAGGTCTATTAGATGTTTCCAACGAAATCCAAAACGCTTTCTCACCTGGTTAATGTAGTAAATTTCCTTGGAAATTTCAAACGAAATAGTCGCATTTTCTCGTTGGAGAATAAACCAAGGAAGGTTGGCATCTGAATTCTTGTCGAGGAACGTTTCGATTTGCTTTAATCGAAGTATTCATCAGTCGAATGCTGAATTGAGTTGATCAATGCAAATTGAAGGCATTATCGACGCGGAACCTTCAAGATAAACCCACATCCATCTTATCTTTAGAATAATGTAAGTAAGGAAAGGAGTAAATTTCACTCGTAAGTTCGGGAAACGGATTGGCTCCGAGAGCTTTCAAGTTCGAGCTATGAGCGATGAAATTTTCTCCCAATTCTGCATTTCTCAATCTAATTTCATTTTTAGAAAGAAAACTTTACGATAAAACCACCACCACCTCCACTTATTTTCGTGGTAGGCTTTATTCTGTCGGAAACAAGAGTTAGCCTCTCAAGACAATATTCTACTCGCTTCGCTAAAATACACAGATTAACAGTGGGGTTATGATTTGTTAAATGCTTTCATTCAGTAGCTCAAGAAATGGAGGTAAATAAGAATATTAAGTGGGAAATATCGAAAAAAAGGAACTAAACAAACTAAAGTTAAATTGAGAATGTAAATTATGTATCGTTAAATTATTTCTTAATTAATTTATTTTTAAGTTAACGTAGTAATAACGAACAGGAAAATAAAAACAAAAAACAGCGAGGCAATAGAAAATTGAGCTAAAAAACGAGCAAAACACGATTCAGCAGGTCAGAAATGGAAAGTCAGCAGTCTGATGAAACAAAGCTTATAGAGGTGACCTCCAATGGAAACGACTTTATAAGACCAGTGATTTCAATCGTAGGAGATTATAAACGATAAATGTCGGGCGAAAGATGGCTGTTGCGCTTCACTTTTAATTTTTATTTATTTTGTTGTATTTTTATTGTCCTGGACGTGATAGATGATGTTTTATATTGTCGCGATTTAAAATGAAGGGGTTTAATAACCCAAGTTTGAGTTTGGGCGATATGTTACGATACTTTTTAACTGAAAAGTGCTAACGAACGCAAATCACGAACATACTTTCTTTTCGTTACAGACATAAGAGGAACTTTCAAGCTTATACTCATCCTGCGGAATTTTTTCACTTTTCTTTTTTGAAATTGAATATAACTCGTATATATACAATATGAAATATGAAAGGTGAAAAAAATTGGGCAGAGCGTATCATACTTATTAGACCCAGCATTTTAATAAGATTTGCAAGTGGTAATGAAAAATCTATTGTAAAAATTCTACATGAAGATTAGAAAATAAGGCAATTAAAACAAAGTTTGAGGGTATTAAAAAATTATAGCGCTTCAAGAGCTATCAATGGAAATGTAAATGGGGAGTGGCGATAACGGAAAACGAGGTTGAGATAATAACGGAATATTGGAATAAATATTTTAATGAGATTTGAGGAGAATCCTTAAGGAGTTCGGGGAGATTTAGAGGGATTAAGGGATTAAAACGTAGATGTAACGCTAAGTGCACTTTTGATGTCACCCATCACAGAGTTAGCAAGTAACGAAATATGTGTCAGTTCTTGTGGTGGGCGATGTAGCCTAACCAGCGAAGAAGATACTTTGTGATGGTACTGTTAGTGCGAGTGGTATTTGGGCGAACGTGGATACAGTAATGTGAGATTTTATCTCAGCGAATCCACAAAATGTACTTTAGAATGGTCAAAGGAGAAAACTTCTTAATATCTTCCACTCTCATTGGCCATGTCTCATATATATGTAGCCAGATCGAACGAATTGCAGCGATATGGACGCGGTTTTTATGGTGGCTTCGTGACGACTCCATAAAGCTTCGCCAATTAGAAGAAAACATTTTTACCTATCGTTATCCAGGCTCTAACTTGATCTTTTGTTTGGCCAAGGATTCTTAAAATCTGGTACTTCCTATAGGCGATGAATTGATAAAAATAGGTATTTTATGAATTTTTGTATCTATGGCAAAAAAAAAATTTTCGTTTGATTATATTATTCTTGAATCCGATTCTTGCAGTTGTTGACACATTGTTTAGCATTATGTGCATTTTAACATAACTATCAGCAAAAAGGAGTGCATTTTCAGCGTTTTCAAGATCTATAATACTATAACTGGACTAATTTGGACACTTCTTGAATACCTATAATTGATATCCATTATATAATCTATCACATAGTAGAATATTGTAGTGGAAAGGACTTGACGGATATCAG